ACATCACATGAGTGCTGGAATGCGACGGCTCCCGATAGGGCCCCAGCGAGGATCAGCTATAGAGTGAATGGATGAGGGGCCCCGAGCCATAGGGATCGGTCAGATATTCATTATATCCGCCGCAGTTAAAAAGACTGACCGCTGACGCGTTTCGATGCCTCGCACACATCCCCCCCCCCTTCCTCGGGGGCTACAATGTAACTTGGTTGTATGGGGGGAGTATTGAGGTTTTGGGTGAATCTAGATGGGTGATCGGTACACAAGCGGGGCCACGAGACGGGGCGATTGCTGGGGTCCCGATACCGGACCCCTCAGATATATACGGGTCGGACCGCCGAGCCCTCTGCTAACTGTGACACAAGTCCTCGTGCCTCATCGTGGGTCCAGCACAGGGAACCCGACGCTCTCTAGGACCCGGAGGGACTCCCGGGATCGTCGTTCACCGGGGTGAATCTGCCAGGAGCGGAACATTCCCCCGGTTCCCGGGACAGACCAGCGCAGCCCGGGGACACTGAGGGGGGCCATTTATAAATCATCCGCACGGCATTCCCACCACTAGATGGAGCCGAGGGAAGCTCCACCCAGAGGGGTGTGGCCAAACGGATGAATTATAAGTCATCCTCCAATCGCAACTCAGCAGGTATGACGGTGGGCGGGGTTATAGCTCCTCAGGGGCGGGACTCCAGTTTGTGTGCCTGGTGTCCGTCGCTCCTGTAGGCGGCAGTATAACCAACTGGTACCTTTTGCCTCTCGATGGACGACGGAGAGAAAACCGAGTCACGCTGCGGCCCCCGAGGAAGGGGAGACTGTCCACCATTTATGTCCCCGCCTTCTCTCCCCCAATTAGAGTTCTCAGAAAGGAGAGGTCAGGATTTCACACTGCCGGTCACAATAGTACAGTTTAGCAGACGTGGGCCAGGTCGGGTGGTGGGAGAGGGAAGAAAAAGTGGGTCAACTGTCCGCGCCGAAACCAAAAACGTTCACCTGGGGTGGGGCGGGGGGGGGACAAGACATCAAAAGACAAAAACACTTAATGAGAACCAAAAATTATATTCATGGGAGGAGTCAGCAAATAGTCTGAGCTCCTCCCCCTGTCTGGGCCCCGCCCACCTGCGACACTGCAGGTACCGCAAGGGTTAAAAACCAGGTAGCACAGGCCCCGCCCCCTTAGGGTATCACAGTGCTTTTAGCTCAGACACAAGGAGGTCATCAGGGGGCGTGGCCTGTGCAGTGACCAGCAGGTAGGCGGAGCCCAGATAGGTGGGAGGAGCTGGAACGTTTGCCCAGAATCCTCTGCCGTCCACACTCACCTCGTCGCAGACATGGAGGGCGAAGAAGAGGACCAGCATGCCGGTGGAGGGGTAGCGGCCATGATGTTCCGTCCAGTGGTCGTGGATGTATTTGAAGAAAGCCGGATTGAAGATCTGAACCTAAAAAAAAAAGAAGACCAGAGACTGAGAAATATTTCCCCGGATACGGCATCCCTGACCCCAGGGGGTGACCCTTCCATGTGGAGCGACCGCAGGCACCCTACAGGGGGCGGTCAGAGGCCGCAGGCACGCTACAGGGGGCGGTCAGAGGCCGCCGGCACCCTACAGGGGGCGGTCAGAGGCCGCAGGCACACTACAGGGGGCGGTCAGAGGCCGCAGACACCCTACAGGGGGCGGTCAGAGGCCGCAGACACCCTACAGGAGGCGGTCAGAGGCCGCAGGCACCCAACAGGGGGCGGTCAGAGGCCGCAGGCACCCAACAGGGGGCGGTCAGAGGCCGCAGGCACCCAACAGGGGGCGGTCAGAGGCCGCAGGCACCCTACAGTGGGCGGTCAGAGGCCGCAGGCACCCTACAGGAGGCGGTCAGAGGCCGCAGGCACCCTACAGGTCGGCGGTCAGAGGCCGCAGGCACACTACAGGAGGCGGTCAGAGGCCGCAGGCACACTACAGGAGGCGGTCAGAGGCCGCAGGCACCCTACAGGGGGCGGTCAGAGGCCACAGGCACCCTACCGGAGGTGGTCAGAGGCCGCAGGCACCCTACAGGAGGCGGTCAGAGGCCGCAGGCACCCTACAGGGGGCGGCGGCTATTTTTTCACATTGCTCCCACATCTGTGCTCTATGGAGTCCATTTATAAATGTCCGGGGCCACATCTGACAATTCTCTTAGTAGGATTCTTTATATAAGATATGAGGGAAGTAATGGACTGTCTGCAGGGGCCCTGAGGGCCACAGCTTGAGGACCAGGGCTGTAGAGGGCGAGCAATGTCACGCGGGTTCATTTCATCCTCACGTTGAGTTTAGGAAAAGCCGATCCAAAATTCTCTGTAATCCGGAATCTGAGAGTTCATTCGGCCGCCACGAGATGATAATCTATAAATAGAACTCACCTTATCCTTATCCACGCGGAGGAAGGCCTTCACCGGGGCGTACGTGCTGCAAGGAGACCAGGAGAGCGTCAGAACCCTCCGAACAGAGAGAGAGTCACCCCGAAAATACACCCCGCGCATCATGTGACAGGAGAAGAATATTCACAACACATATAAACAATGTTACTTTGTATCTCTCTATCTCCCTCTGATCAATGTTTATAAACAATGTTACTTTGTATCTCTCTCTCTCCCTCTGATCAATATTTATATACAATGTTACTTTGTATCTCTCGGGGTCAGACGGCCATTTTTTTTGGCTTTATTTACACAGAATATTCTGGAAGTCATGTTGCCGGTCGGATATTTTGGGGGCTTCGCTGGCATTTTCTACACAAAGAAGTGGTGAAGAGGTAAGAAGTTATTATTTGATATCTGATTGTCACCAGATTGGGGTACTTACAAGCGGATTTGCCCCGTGGAGAGGGCACTGGTGATCCACATCAGGTCCAGAGCTTTGAAGGGGATGAGGACGAAGCTGACGTTGGCTGGAAGGTTCTTGGCGCTCTCGGGGTACATGAAGTGGTGAGTGGTCTTGCAGCCGACGTCTCTCTCGTAGCCGAGGGTCGGGGCCTGGTTTATCCTGCACAGAAAAGAGGTCACAGATGACAAGAACAGAACATCCTTCGGAGCCGATCTCCCGGCAAACAGCTGAACACGCAGCCTGCAACTGGACAGAGGGAAGAAGCAGACTGGTGAGGCCATCTCTCTGCTCTCTCCTCCTATCAGCATGCCCCTTGTTAGCACTGCAGCATAGCCGGCTGACCTGCGCTGTACAGGGACTGCAGGAGGCTGATACCGGGTCACACTCAGGGACATTCTCTGGCGGGTTGAGGATATGAAGGTTGGCTCCGGTCCGCTGTCCTTGTCACAGCGGCCTGCAGGGGGCAGCGGCGCTCCACGAGGGCCGACGCATTCCGGAACACGGCGATTATCTGCAGACCGCGGACAGCTGCGTCCACCACACCAACGGCGAATAGAAGAAGCACGCGGCTACACCGGATTAAAGGCAGCACCTCTTATATT